ACGCCAAAATGCCATACTTGTTCGTTTGGATATTACCCAAAAATTGAGAATAATAAAATTTGTGTTGGATGTGACGGAACATGTGACAATAAATGTAATACCCAAAATGGGTATTGTTATGGATGTCTTGAAAATTATGTCTTTAATTTAACTGATACATTTTCATGCCAGAAGTGTGAAGACTTTGACAGTAATTGTAAGAATTGCAGTAGTAATTATACACAAACATGTGTGGAGTGTAAAGAAGGCTTTTATCCATTGGATGGAATTTGTGTGTTGTGTAGTACAATTAAAAATTGTCGATATTGTTCAACAGTCGAAAAGAAGTGCTTGCAATGTAATGACCCTTTCATTATTAACTCACAAAATGAGTGCCAAAGTTGTGAAAGTTACACATTCAAGAAAAATGAAACGCATTGTGACTATTGTTTTTTAAACAAAATGAATTGTGAATTGTGTGATACTCTTGAAGTCAACAAAACGACATGTAAAAAGTGTTATTCTCCATTTGTTGTTGATGTATATGGAAATTGTGTGTTGTGTGACGACAACAAATTTTACAAGAATGAGACATGTTTGTTCAATGAAAATTGTCAAAAAGGTATCAATGAGACATTTTGTCTCAAATGTGATGTAAATTTCTTTTTGTCACAAAATAAATGTTTTTCTTCAAATGGATGCAAAGACTTGTCGTTGTTTTCATGTAACTGTGAAAACGTTTATGCTGTGAATTCTGAATGCTCGCAACTCACCAATTGCAAGTATTTGTATTCTTCTCAAAACATTGATTACTGTTTGAGCTGTGAAGACAATTTTGCTTTGATTGATACGGAATGTACAGAACCAATTGCACATTCAAAAATTATGAAAAACAATTATTTATATTTATGTGAAAATTATTATTATTCAAAAGATAATAAATGTTTGAGTTGTGACAATGAACAGAAAATGTGTTTGTATACATCTGTGGATGATACCAAAACTAAAGCGTTGATGTGTGATGACACAAGGGTTATCAATTACACTAGTGAGTTGTGTTTTTTGGATAATAATTGTAAAAATTACGAATCAAATCAATGCACCAAATGTAAAATTGACAATTATTATATTTCGAATGGAACGTGCGCGGAAAGTGGAATAGAAAATTGTATAACTTCGATTAATGGAAAATGTTATGTGTGTAATACAAATTATTTAAAGGATAGCAATGATGGGTGTTCGAGCATTACAGACTTGTTTTGTTGTAAGTCGAACTCATACAGTTGTATCACATGTTTTGAAAATTATACCAAAACAACCCTAAACCCATCTTGTGAAAAAATAAACGAAACTTTAAATTGTAAAGTACTTATAAATGGAGTCTGTAAAGAATGTGTTGGTGGGTTTTACTTGTACAATTCCGAATGTTTTACTTTCAACAATTCGGAAGTTTTTGATTTGACACATGATGAGAACAATATTAAAATTGAAAACGAAAGTCAACAATATGGCATTGATTGTATAATTCACACTCAAAAGGGGTGTATAAAATGTTCACCAAAAACATATCTCAATCGAATTAATTCGACACATACAATGTGTAAAAAGTGTTCCAACAACTGTGAACAATGTTATAATGAAACATTTTGCTTGTCATGTTCTTCCAACTACTATTTGGACTCTTCAAACAAGTGCTCTTTGATGGGAGATCTACAGCTTCGATGTAGACAAATGATGTTGGGTTTTGTGGGGTGTGCCATTTGTAATGACTTGTATTACAAAGTCGGTACAGACTGCCTTCGTTGTGATTCTTCGTGTTCAACATGTTTAAATCCGAACGAGTGTACTTCTTGCATTGATGGTTTTTATATTATTAAAGGCGAGTCATACACATGTCAAAATTATTCCACGTTAGAGAACTGCCAGACTAAAACGCCGGGTGGGTGTATTTTATGTAATGAAGGGTTTTACCTACAAAATTGGAAGTGTCATTTTTGTTCCACGAATTGTACACAATGCGACAGTATCGACTTGTGTAATTCATGTGAAAATGGATATATTTTGATGAATGGAATATGTGTCCACTACACATCAATACAATCGTGTCTCTCTGCACAAAATGATAAATGCACAAAATGTGATGGTCTTTGGAAGAAACCGGACAATGACGGCAAATCATGTGTCTTTGCAGTGAATTATGGTATCATCATTGGATGCCCTCTTGCTTTTCTTTTTGTTGTTTTTGTCTTGTTGATCCTCTTGTTTTTCATTGTTTTTGAAATCCAACGCAAACGCAAAGAAAAAAATGACGCAAAAAACATCTGTGTCTTTGAAATTGATAAATCGAATGTCACAATGGACAACCGCGTCTGTGAAAACATTTTTATGAACAAAAAGGAATTGAAGTTTGACAACGACTTGGAGAATGACAACCAAAGCGAACTTCCTGTTGGAGTTGAAAGTCGGGATTTGATTTGTGTTGGCAATTTTGGTAAACAAATGGTTAAGCTTCAATTTTCCACAACAAGTGATTGTGACCAATACAGCATTCGAACAAACCCACAAATGATTATTTTAAAATCGGGATTTGCGTGTGAATTTGAAATATTTATAACACCAAATTGCACGTGCAATTTACATGAACACGTCGTTTTAATAGTTTTGGATATTATGAAAAACAAACAGAAGAATAGTGATGTACCTGTCGATGTTGTAACAAAACTAACAACCAAACTTGATTATAGAGAAATTATAACAGAACGGATACTTGGTGAAGGATCATTTGGTGTTGTATATAAAGGAAAGTATAGAGGAGACACTGTTGCTATTAAAAAGATGAAACAAACAGCGAAACAAAATAGTCAAATCAAAGAATTTGAAGAAGAAGTGGAGATGCTGGGGAAATTCAGAAGTGAGTATATCGTCCATTTCTATGGCGCCGTGTTTATACCTGACAAGATCTGTATGGTCACCGAATTCGCTTCATTTGGAAGTTTACAAAATTTGATGGAAATTAAAAACAAAGAGGAAATAAATATTAAAATAAAAATCAAATTTATGAGTGACGCAGTCCGTGGAATTAAGTATTTACATGATAATGGGATTTTACATAGAGATATCAAACCAGATAATTTGCTCGTTTTTTCGTTGGAAGACAATCAAAAAGTGAACGCTAAATTGACTGACTTTGGGTCGAGTAGAAACATCAATATGTTGATGACTAATATGACATTTACCAAAGGCGTTGGGACACCGAAATATATGGCACCTGAAATTTTAGATAAGAAGAAGTACACGACATATGCAGACATTTATTCTTTTTCTATTATGTTGTATGAAACAGTCACATGGGAAGAGATGTACCCCAAAGACGTATTTAAATATCCATGGGACATAGCCGCATTTGTAACAAATGGTAAGAGAAAGGAAATCAAAAAAGATGTTCCAATCGAAATTGGTGAAGTCATTGAAAAGACTTGGAATCAAAACTCGAGTGAACGAATCAGTCTTGAAGAGGTTGGTACAAAACTCGATCAATTTGTGAATAAATCGTAGTGTTTTTTTATGGTTTGTTAATAACTAATTTTTACTATTTTGATGGATTTTAATGAATAGTATAAATGTAATATATTTAATTAAAAGTGGAGATTACAACAAGTCATTAAATTAATTAAAATAATAGAATAAAAATACTATAGAACATGATACAAAAAAAATAAGTTACACCAAAGTGTCATATTTGTCGACAGGGAAGTACTTCTCCGTCACGAGTGAATTGACCTTTTCAGACACTTGTAACGTGTCTGAAAGTAGCGTGAATATTTGATCGTTTTGCGAAGCGGGAGATTTTTCGATTTCCATTTTCTCTTTTACGTTTCCCACTGCTTCCAAGCAAATTTTGTGGACTTCCTCCGTGGGGAGTTGTGTTGTATTTGTTTTGGAAAATGCCACAATGGTGTTGTGAATTTTGTTATCTCTTTTTGATTGTATGAGAGTGTTTTTGAGTGCCACAAGGCTATCCCCATGTGTTGAAAAATACAATAAAAAGTTTTGCTTTGCTTGGTATTTTGCTCTGATGTATATTCGATGTAACGTTAAAGGATCTTGAATAAAACCAAAAAGTTCTTTGAACTCTTTTTCAGGAACAAGATGAACCACAGCGTCATTAACAAATTCCTCGAGAAGTACAAGATCATTGAAAAGATTTGTTTTGTTGTCCATAGTCTTTTACTTATTCAGTTTTTTTATCTCTTTTTGTTCATCGAATTAAAATGTACTATAAACATTAATTAATTTATAACAATGAAATGATACTTATAAATGGGTGTTGTGTAAACAAATCCTATTTAATATAATATATTAATTTTAAAATAATAATTTGGTTTTTATAATATTATTATAATTTGTTTAATTATTTAAAATAACTTTCTGAATCGTTGTATTTTATACAATAAGAACAGACAAACAACCATTTCAATTCAAAAAATTTACACTTTCTATCAAAAGTATATCAAAAGCAAAATAACACCAACAAATAAGTAACTCGCTAATCATAAAATCAATAAAACAGTCAGTGCGAGGAAATAGTATAAAGGGTAAGTTGCACTCCTCTGGTTCTTATTTTCTTTAAGAATACATTTTCCTGATGTTGTGCAAACGTTGTTAAAAGGACATACCCCACAATTTGGAACACACCCCTTCCGAAATGCGACAACACCCCCATCGTCTGGGCTGTCTTCTTGTGGATTGCATGACGCAGTCCCACATTGATAGGACCCAAGTGGACACAATTTGAGCCCTTCTTTATAATTATTTTCATCCAAGAAAATCGACTCAAGACTTAGAATAGTCCCTGGAACACCTTTAAAGCGGAGCACGTAATTATTAACTATATATGAGTATTCTTTTATCACAATAATAATAATATTATTATTAATATTATAAATAAAATACAAAACAAACAAAACGACCCACATCGTGACACTTTAAGACCTAAAGTGTAGTTCATGAAAAAATGATTATTTTCTTGATGATATGTTTTGTTGGAGCTGTAATTTTCGCAAGAGGACTCAGTGTATTCTTGAGAAGAGTCGTTTTTCATAAAATTAATTTTGACTTCTTCTAATGTGAATTTACTCTCAGATGATACAAAACAATTGAACGTGTCGAAGAAGTAGACCTGCTTGAATGGAACCCGATACCTCAACGAGATAACCGCGTTCCCATTTTCGTCGAAAGTTGTTTGATTGTTTTGAATGGGCGTTTCTGGGAACAACACTTGGACGCTTGGGACTGAAGCCACGACCCAATCGAAGTATACGTCGTTGGAATTCAGATACCCAACTATGATATTTTGTGGAGTGAATTGGCACCGATCGAAGTTGATTTCGTCGGAGACTTGTGTGTTTCCCACATAATTAAAAATCTTGTCGGTGATTCCAGTGAATTGTACGATAGGTCCTCTTGCGGTGATTGCCTGAACTATTGTGGGGTATTTGGGGACAGGAATTCTCACTTTATAATTTGTCTCGACGTTATAATCCTTTGTCTTATTCACTCTCACCTTGAAGACGGGGTAATTGAAGTTCAAGTTTTTAATAGTGAGATTAACACCGTTGTTTTCATACACAGATAGTAATGGATATGTCTTAAACGGACATCCAATGTTTTCAAGTTAAAGGGACGACTATGGAAGTGTATGTGTCCGAAGGATGACTGCTAAGTCACTCATTATTTACGTGGGACAAGAT